CCTTCCTTCCTTCCTTCCTTCCTTCCTTCCTTCCTTCCTTCCTTCCTTCCTTCCTTTCTTTTTGGAGACAGGGTTAATGCAATCCTCACAGTCATGGAACTCACTGTGTAGATCAAATGGCCTCAGACTCAGAGATCCCCGTATCCCATCATCTGAGTGCTGGACTAAAGGTTTACACTATAATGTCTGGCACTGCTATGAATTTCTGGGTCTTAAATAAGGTAAATGATATTATTACAGTTTTTCAAAGGGGCTGAAGATATGACTTAGGGCTTAAGAACATTGGCTGCCCTTTAAGAGGACTGGGCTTTAATTCCCCATCACAGCAGCTCACAGCTGTCTGGATGTTTCAGGGCATCTGATGACCCTTCAGGCCTTCTCCTGCACCAGGCATATATGTAGTGCACAGTAAAACAATGGACAAAGCACACATAAACACTAATAGAAATAAGCTTTTACCACAGTAATATTGGGAGAATTTATTTTGGCATAAACTGTGACATTTTCTAAGATTTACACCTCATTAAAAGCTTTCACAACTTTCTTATATTTCTGTTTCTATTGTGTACACTGCTGTGATTTGTAAGCAGAGAATACTGGAAATTGCTATGTCCCCTTACTTACAACAGCATGTTTCTCTCCAGTATGAATTTTCTATGTTTCCTAAGACCTATAATATGTATATAGGATGTGTCAGTCTTTGCATTTGTATGGTTTCTTTCCAGTATGAATTTTCTGATGTGCTCTAAGATGTGCACACCTAGTAAAAGATTTGTTACATTCCTGACAACTGTAAGGTCTCTTTCCAGTATGAAGTCTTTGATGTCTTCTAAGATGTGAGCAAGTGATAAAGGACTTGTCACATTCCTTACATCTATAAGGTCTTTCTCCAGTATGAACTCTCTGATGTACTCTAAGATTTTCATTATGGATAAATGATTTACCACAGTCTTTGCATTTGTGACGTTTCTCTCCAGTATGAATTTGCTGATGTTTTCTTAAACCATTAGAATGGACAAAAGATTTGTCACACTCCTGACAACTGTAAGGTCTCTCTCCAGTATGAACTCTTTGATGTGTTCTAAGATTTGACATGTGGGTAAAGGATTTGTCACATTTCAGACATTTGTAAGGTTTCTCTCCAGTATGAATTTTCTGATGTCTTCTAAGGGTTGAGTCCCAGGTAAAGGATTTGTCACACTCCTCACATTTGTAAGGTTTTTCACCAGTATGAATCCTGTAATGCCTTTTAAGAAGTGATAATTCAAGAAAGGACTTCCCACATTCTGTACATTTGTGAAACTGCTCTAGAGAATGAGTTTTCTGATGACTATTCAATGATGAATAGTGGAGAAAAGATCGGTCACACTCATTACACTTGAAAAGCGTCTCTCCAGTATGGAGTCTGTAATGGCTTTTAAAGTGCAAAAGCTGATGAAAGACTTTGCCACATTCTTGACAACTATAGTGTCTTCTGGTAGCATGCATTTTCTGATGTTTCTTGAAAGTGGACGAGCGGGCAAAGGATTTGTCACATTCCTTACATTTGTAAGGTTTCTGTCCAGTATGAAGTGTGTGATATCTTTTAATCTGAGAAGACTGACGAAAGACCTTGCCATATTCTTGACAATTGTGTTGCCTCTGAGCAGCATGTATTTTCTGAAGTTTCTTGAACATGTACCAGTGGGCCGAGGGTTTATCACATTCCTTACATTTGTAAAGTTTTTCTCCGGTATGCAAATTCTGATGTCTATGAAGTACTGACAAGAGATGAAATGACTTTCCACATTCTTTGCATTTGTAAGGATTTTCACCAGCATGAAGTCTTTGATATATTTTAAGCTTTGAATGCTGGATAAAGGATTTTTCACAAATGATGCACTTGTATGGTTTCATTCCACTATGAAGTCTCTGGTGTACAGTGAGGTATGAGGCAGTTCTGAAGCATTTCCGGCATTTCTCACACTGGTGTGGTGTCTCTGCAATGATTGGTTGTTGCAAAAGACTGTATGCAGAGCTGGAATAGTTATCATATTCTACCTGCTTGTGCTCTTTCTTTGTAGTATAGAGTCTCTGATCTTGAGTCAATTGAAATACAAATCTATAGATTTTTTCATAGTCTTTAGATTTGCAAGATTCTTCTCCAATGTGCAAGCTTTCATGTGTATCTAGGTTTGATGAGTCAGCAGAGGCATTCCTGTTATTACTGCATGTGTAGTTACTAGAATTTTCTGGAGTTTCACTTGTTCTATAAAGTGCACATGTGGAGGGGTCATGAAGCACTTTTCTGAGCTCATTACACTGACAAGACTCTTTTACAGTCTTCACATGTTGATGGGCAGGATCAAATTTGCATTAATTCTCTGAAAATGAGTACAGCTCAGATTAAAAGGGCTTGCTCCAATAACAAACATGTGATAAGTGACTGTCTCTCTAAATTCTCTTTTAACATAAGTGAACCTAGAACTACTTGGATTAGAGCTCTCAGTAATGAACATTTTCATTCACTGTAATTGTATGGATTCTCACAAAAGCAGCATGACAGCCTTCAAAGGTCAGTGATTTACAACAGATAGCTCATCTATATCCAAAATTTCTAAGGGGGAAAAAGATGTTAAAAAAATAATTGATGGACGTGAATTAACCTTGGGGTAGAGCTCAATGACTGATTATATTTAAAATACATTTTTCTATCTTAAAATATTTCTTCTCAGAAACTGATGAAGAGGAATTTAATCCAATCCCAGGTTCACAGTATTTATATTTACTAAGTGATCGACAATGAAGATTATTGTTCAGAAGACCCAAGTTCCTTAAAGATTGAAGTCTTACTTAAAAGCATTAAAGAGTTTATATTTCTCTCAATAAGAACAAAGTAGATTCTTCTAAAGAAATGGAGATAAAGACAGTGTTCTGCCAGACATCAGAGACTCTAGATCATTTGAGGCAGGGCTGCCAAGGGTAGCTATTGCTTATGTCTATCCTCCACTGTCTAAGTTCCAAACACGATTGTGCTTCTTAACATTTCTCATAGTGCTATGTTAATCTCAAGTCTAGTCTGTACAGTGACTTCTGAGATTATTTCCCAGAAGGGTGTCTGTGCCTTCTCCACTGGAAGAAAGTAAAGGAAGTAATATGAAGACACACATGCAAGGAAGACAAGGAATATGCCTACTTCTTTGACAAACATTAGACTTAAAATTTTGTAAAATTATTCCATCTAATTTCAGCTTAGTCACATAAAACTGCTTTTTGTACAACTAGTAAGCCACCATAATTCAGGTGTAATAAGACACAACGCCTTTTAAATGGTAACCACAGACAGGATGCATCTGGGACCAGGACCCTACACTAAATTAAATGACAAGGAATCCTTTCAAGAGGAATTGAACTTCGCAAAAACATTCTCAGCTCTTGTTTTCTCTTTCAATTGAAGCCATCACTGTTATCTTGCTTATTCACTAGCCCACCCTAGTTTTGGCTACTGTTTCCTCTCCACATTCCATGGTAATTTCATTCTTTCTGGACAGGCGATCATGTCTACCTAGTATACAAAAAAATCCACAGGTTATTTCAGGCAGCTGATGACCCACGATAGAATTTTTAGAAAGAATACAGAAGTCTAACATGATACTGTACTCAGTACATGAAAACACAAAGCAAAGAAATTTTATCAGGATTTCTCGATTGATATTTCTTGTCAAATCCTTCAGTATATTTAGTATATATATTCAGTTCATATATCTTGAATATGTCTCACAATTAAAACCGTGTCACTCGGGCTTGAGATATGACTCAGAGGTTAAGATTACTAGCTACTCTTAAAGATGTCCTAAGCTCAATTTCAAGCAATCACATGGTGGATCACAACCACCTGTAATGAGATATGGTGCCCTTTTTGGGACCAAAGGGATAACTGGAGGCTTAACACTGTATACATAATAAATAAATATTTAAAAATAAATAAATAAACCATGTAAACTGCAATAATGGACATGGAACTTTAAGATATGAGCTGAAATATTATATGCTACTGAGTTTATGGCTGAAGCTTGGAATCCAAATGGGTAGGTGACACCTCTGTAATGGAAAATGGAAAGAGAAAGCTAAATAGCATAAAAAAGTTCTTTCCCACTACTAAACTTTGCCTTGTCTCCTGGTTGCTTTTCCAGGACAACTTAACAGATTTTACATCTTATGAAGTCAGAACAAACAAAACATGGAATTCAACAAGCAAAATATTCTCACCCACAAAGACCAGGTTGTTGTATTTCTCCAACATCACATCAATGTACAAAGCCCTCTGAGAAGAATTCAGGTATTCCCACTCCTCTTTTGAGAAGTTCACAGTCACATCCCTAAATGGCAATAGACCCTGAAACAAAATAAGTATGGTTTGACCACATGCTACCTGGAAGAGCTTTCCAGGATATAAGGAGATGAAATGTAGACGAGAGAAGATAATTACTCAAAATATGATAGTCACATTCTATCATGAATGTTTTAACTCCATGACAACAAGATGAAATCATAGTCTTACAAGCCATATACATGAAACAAGAAATACATTTTAGGTCTGGACACAATTATCTGTCTGCCATAGATGCTGCATTTATGTTCCACAGGATCACAGTGTACATGTCTCAGAAGGAAAATTCATGAGGAAATGTGCTTTAAATGCTGTACCTGAAGATAATGTTAAAACATGGACACCAATCAATCCTGTGTATACTTGGACCTTACATGATTCTATTCTGACAGGTTAAGTTGGGATGTTTAAACTCTAGGTATAGCCACACCATTAATTAGCAAAGGTATAGATATGGAGGACAGAATATATGACTGTTTTTATAGACAAAGAGGGGTTTTTTTTTGCACAGTAGCAAGGATTGTAACAACACTATATACATACTTATATTAACATGTAAGATAAGTAGTCTATGGAATTAATCTTATAATAGTTGTGCCAATATGAACAGATAGAAAAATCTACATCAGCCTTATATGATTTAATTCAAAATTTCCTAGAATATGCATAAACCATCAGAGGCAAATATCAATTTCAGAAATTTTGAGGAATATTTCTCTTCACTCCCAAAGAGTAATAAAAATCGAGAGAAGTCCAAAAAAAACCACATCAAATTGTTTAAGGTATAGCGAAGAGAATTTGTGCCAGTAATACTTTGCATAAGGCTCATAGAAAGAGTTTACCAAAAATTAAGTTAAATAAATACTGAGGAAATAAAACTACAAATCAACAAAAGGGCAAATGAACTAAACAGACACTTTTCCAAGACCAAATATGACTCAAATGGCCTAAAATATTGCAAAAGTGTTCAGAATCCCAAAAAGGATACCATGGAAACAAAAATTAAAACTACTCACAAATACTGCCTCACTCCAGGCAGAAATGGCTGTCATCAACTAACCTGATAATACATGTTTGAAGGGCTAAGCAGAGGAAGGAAGCATTATTTACTACGGAGGATAAGAAGAGTGTAGTGATATTTTATTTGTATTTTAATAAATAAAGCTTGCCTGAAGATCAGCATGCAGCACTAAGTGACTAGAGGCCATGCAGCGGTGACACAGACCTTTAATTCCAGTATTTGGGAGTCATACACCTCTAATCCCAGCACTAGGAAGGTGGAAACAGGAGTGATATGGCTGGGTGGAGAGAGGAATATAAGGCAGAAGAAGACAGACACTCATTTGAGTCTGAGGTTTGATAGAGACAGAAGCAGTGTCTGTCTCTGCTATAATATAATTGCCCCTCCAGTCTGAGCATGGGTAGAGATAAAAAGAACTCTCTAGTGGCCAGTGCTCTGCTTCTCTGATCTTCAATATTAACTGCTATATCTAACTCTGGGTTCATACTATCAAAACCTGCCAGAACTCATGCTATATCTGGCACCCAACTTTTGGGGAACAAAGTCACACACACACACAAAAAGCCATTTGCCTGTAACTTTGCAGCAACCAGCATTGGCCGGAGCTGCAGGCAGCCCTACTAGATGGTTTTTCTTTCTCCTCTCCTGGTGAGCTTTCCCTGGACCCCTTTCTGGGCTGTTGCCAGACCAGTAGCTGCCTTGAAATCCAGTCAGACTTTTAATGTTCTATGCAGTAGCAGTAAGCCTCACATCTTCATTGTCATTGGTGGCAAATTTGGTGAGAAAATTGGAGAATTAGGTAAAAAAGAATGTTTTCCCATGTTAAAAAAAAGGGAAACACAATTATAATGTTTTCTTAACTTTTAATTTTCTAAATGCTAATGAGAAAGGAAGAACAGTGGTAGAGAGACATTGGGTAATAGAAAACATTATGGAATTAAATTGGCCAGTATGCTTTAAAGATGTGTTGATCATAGAATGGAAACCAGGACAAGTGTTAGCTTGGGGAGAGATTTTGCTTGTTTATACAGGAGAAGAAAATCCATGATACCATCAAAGTTAATAAAGACTTGAATTAAAGAAGAGAAACCTCTTAATTAGAAGAGATGATAGTTTAACAAACAGCATGGTCATTTAACCTAAACTAACTTATAAAACTCACAAATGCTTTTCATTTGATCAGATATAACTTGCCAAGATGGAACCTCCCCAAAAAATAGGGTTGGTGAAGAGTTTTATTTCTGTCTTTTCAGGAGAATAAAGGCATCCAGCTAAGGAATCTGAAAACCACTGGACAAATGAGACGTGAAGAAAAAGGACAAATCATCCCCCAAAAAATGTCCCCAGAAAAAGAGTAATTGGGCAGTCATCACCCAGATGCAGAGGAAGCAAGATAAGAATGCCTCGCTGATAAAGGTACCAAGCCACATGGCTGACACAGACAAAAATTATGGGCTAATATTTGGAACACATGGACCTGTCTGTTTTAGGTAATGCACACAGATGGTTGAAAAGTTCAGCCTCACCAGCAGTGGTGGCGCACACCTTTAATCCCAGCACTCGAGAGACAGAGGCAGGTGATACATTCAGATACTTACAAGCAAAAGTGCAGAGAGTTGACCCTCTCCTCAATGTCTGTTCATCTGGCTTCCTCTGGAGATAGCCAATGTGGCCACATTTCCTGCATCTTATTTTATGTACAGATGTATCTTACAATGAAAGTTAAGCAGCAATGATAGGGGAACAAATGAGAGAGGGTGTGCGTGGCCATGGAGAGCTGACATCCTGAAGACCCTAGAGAACAGCAGTGAACCTGCACACCCAGAGGCATAGAGATCACTGACATTATGACTTCAACAATTCTGGAGCCCCGTGAAAAAGGCTTCCTGTTGTTTTCTTTCAATGACGTCTTGCCTGAGACTGGGAGAATTACAAGCTAAGAATGTCAAGATAATGGTGCAGGTTTCTAGTGAGGGTCTCTTTAGCTTCAGTGCACAGTGAAAAGAGGAAGGGCAGCTGGTATTGCTCCATGACAGCTCATAGTCTGCTCAATGAACCTGCAATCCACAGGATTGTTACTCCTCTTAGTGATCTAATTCCCTTCTGATGGTATCACCACCTTCAGCACTGTCACAAGCAAATGGCAAAGACTGGTTTGGAAAAGGACACACTATATTTAAAGCATAGCATCCCACCCTTGCCTCCTCACAGTGTAAAATACTCCAATCCCCAAATCTTAACTTGTTCCAAAGTCCATCCCAAAAGTCTTACTTTGTTCTGGCACCATCAAAAAAGCCCAAAGTCCCATTTACCAGTCTGTGAAATCAAAGGAAGTTCTCTACATCCAAAATACAATGTCAAGACCAACATAAGGTGTGCAACAGGTGGATCATATTAGTTCTCTCTTCATTTTTTCCAATAATCTCCAAACTGATTCCTAAAATAGCTGTATTAACTTACACTCTCCTGTAGCAGGAGTTCTAATAGGACTTAATAATAAAAATGCATAGTCAGTTATAGAGGTTAATGCTGGTGATCAGAGAAGTAGAACGCCAATGTCTAGAGAGTTCTTTAACCCCTACCAATGCTCAGACTGAAGGGGCAATCCTGTCCTCAGATTGCATCTCCAGATTGCTCCTGTCTCCAACAAACCTCAGACTGCACTGAACTTGTCTTCTCCCACCTTATATTCCTCTCTCTACCCAGCCATATCACTCCTGTCTCTATATCCCTAGTGGTGGGATTAAAGATTTATACTTCCCGAATACTGAGATTAAAGGTGAGTGCCACCGCTGGCTGGCCTCTAGTGGCTTAACTGTGCACTTTAATCTTCAGGCAAGCTTTATTTGTTAAAATAAAAATAAAATACCATGACATTTTCCTTTTTTTAATCTAAAATAAAATAGAAGGCTATAGCTAATATAAGAAAACCTTTATACAGTAAGTACAATAACTACATATAATATATAAAGGGAATAAGTACATCTACAATGTCTAGTCCATTTGCATTTGACAAATTCAGACGAAATACTTCATTATCTATCCCGTCTTTATAAGTCCAAAGTTTTGTACCTAATTTACTTTTTATCATAACTTGCATTACTATCCAAAACTATATTTTGATGTCTTTCAACCTTATACACTTACATCTCTTTTCTGCATCTGATAAACAAGGAAAAGTATTTAGTGTTCGATTGCCTCAGAGAACAGAAAAGAAAATAATATTAACTGAGTAAGCAGGAAGTACAAGCAAGCACCTTCTAAATAAATATGAGAAATGTCAAACAGCTGGCTACCTAGACAGTCACACGATTCCTCTGCAATGGTGGGCCATCACCTTCATCCTAAAGGCCTAAAATATTCCACAGACTTTTCTATAAAGCAGGACTTTTGAAGGATTGTTCCACCTTGTCTTGACAAAGTTTTGAAGTCACTCTGTTTTGTGTCCTGCTTGTCCAATTTGAACAGCATATTGTCAGCCGTCAAGGCAAGGACACTTTCTTGCCTAGTGGCTTACTTTTGCCACAAGAGTATTTTTTGCATGCCTCTGCATGTTCTTTGAAGTAGATTGGTACTGCCGAGATCAGACATGTCTCATTGTAATATAAAAAAGCACTTGCATAACATGGAGAAAAGAGAACAGAAAAGGTGAAGAATGGGGACTGAATGCAGTTAATAAAGAACAGTTATGAAATAGGATATAAAGCTAAGTGCTTTCCTAGTTCGAGTTCTGTCAAAGGTTTTTGGGAGTTTGGTGATTGATAAGTAAATCAAAATATATTCAATTGTAAAAATATAAAATCCCACATGAGGCTCCGGAGCATCTGTTTCCTATGACAACTGTAACTCAGTGTAAAAGTACACTGAGATGTAGAGTCTTTGAGTCTACTTTTTATCAGTGTGTGATTTTTGTAGTTTGTCCATTTACAGAATTGTTCATAATAAAAATTTGAAAAATTATCAGAAGCAGAAAACTAAAGGCTTTTAATATATCAACCTATTTAGATAAAGAAAAAAAAAGCACCACTGACCTGTGACAGATTTTCTGGAGAATCCATCATTTCTTACTGTTTCTCTTCTTGAGTTTCTCTTTTAGACACAAAGAATGAATGGCTTGCTTCCCTTTCAAAATAAGTGGTCAAAAAGGAAGAGTTAAAATCAATACTGAAAGCTGCTAGAGAGCAATACCAACCCACATTAAAAGACCCAAGCAACAGAATTCTACCAGGTGTCTAGTCAGTGATCCCAAAGACAGGAGGGCATGGAAAAACATTTGGAGCTTGAAGAGAAATCACCACCAAGCATATTGTTGCACAAAGAAAACTACTCTTAAAATTTATGGAGACAGTCGGGTGGTGTTGGCACATGCCTTTAATCCCAGCACTCAGGAGGCAGAGGCAGACAGATCTCTGTGAGTCCAAGGCCAGCCTAGTCTACAAGAGCTAGTTACAGGACAGGCTCCAAAGCTACAAAGAAACCCTCTCTCAAAAAATCAAAAATAAAAAAGTCGATAAGGTCTTAATTGCATTTTAAGATAGTTGCCCATTAACACAATTGATTTCACTAAAGAGGCACTGCAGATAATAAATTACAGGAAGAATAAATACAAGAGAGTCAGAGGAATCATCCACGAGATCATGGAAAATAATGAATTTCATATGAAGAATAGAGAAATACAGGAGAAATGGGATGTAGTCATCCACGAGCAAGGCAGCAAGCCACTATTTCTCAAAAAGAAGGAAGAAGAATACTACTAATACCAACCAGCAACAACATAAAAGCAAACCATAGGAAATAAAAAAGGCCATGAACAAAAAAATTCAGTATATGATCCAGCTGGTCTATTCCTTGCCATAAACTCAAAGGACTTGACATCCTACTTCACAGTACTTGCTCACCCACATCATTGCTGCTCTACTCACAGTAGCTACAAAATGGAAACAACCTAACTTCAAATGACAAACAACTAGTGAATGTGTGGTACACATATAGTATGGAATTCCAGTCAGCTGTAAAGAAAATAAAAATCATGAGCTTTGCAGGTAGACTTAGGAAACACCATATTGAGTGAGGTAACCCAGACCCAGAAAGATAAACACGGCATGATCTCTCTCATAGGAAATTCCTAGCTCCAAATCTTTAGACGTGAGTCCACAACCTGGAGTGACTGCAGTAACCAGGAAAGAAAAAGGAGATTACAGCGAGATGTAGGGAAGCAGTAGAGATAGGAATAACAGGGCACCAGTGATCTGAAGGGGGAAATGGAAAACAGGTGAAGGGATTTAATAATGGAGAAAAGATAACCATAAACACAGAAGAAGGAGGGTAAAATAACAGTAAGGGTGTCTGGAAAATTCATAAGGAATCCAAGTATTCCTAGACTATTATCCATCCACCAAGAATGCCTATAATATATATAATTCTCTTTAAGCATGTACATTTTGAGTATAAATGCAAATTTCTCAACTGCACTGATGATGCTCCTCACAAGAGTCATAGAATTTCTAACATGTTGACCAACACCAGGTGTACGAAGCCTACTTTGAAGTTGTTGGTCACAGTTGTCCAAGAGACTTCCACACCTTACAGTGTATTCCTATTGCCCATGGTTGTCTCCCAGATGCAGAAGATGAAACCTAGTGCTGTAGAAGTCACACATTTCAGACACAAATCCTAGACGACTCCAGATGGAACTGACCCTAAGCCTCCTCCCTGGGAACTAGCTTTCATGGTACAAGAAGGCAACAAGCACCCTTCCAAAGGAGGGATCCAACCAACAGTCCTACCCAGCTATGACACCTATGAACCACAGCACTGATCAACACTGCATGATAGCCTAAAGGTGCAAGAGTGGCACACAAACCTTCAAGGTAACCAATAGCTTCTAATTGGATTAAGACCTTCTTAACAAGAAGGAAATCATGCCTGGTACTGGAAATCTAGCCTGTTTCCCCAGGGCTAATAAAAGTTTGGGTCTTGGAGGAGAACCTATAACTCGTACTTTATTAAACCAGCCTAAATCCTTATTGTCTTCTAAATACTTATGCTAATTTCCAGCATACAGTAGGAGACAGTCTAGATGGAATGTAGCAGGCTGTAAATGTACTTCCTGATTCTTATCAAAACTCTGATGGCATCATTTTCAAGAATGGAGATAAAACTACTAAAAGGTAGAGAATGTCCCAGAATATCAAAGCTCTAAAATTCTGAAAACAATAAAAAAAACCCTAAAGGTATTAACTTTTATCATCTTTGTAATATATAAAAGCCTAAGAAATGAAAATGGTTTAAAAATGGTATGAAAACATGCTCAGTGATGTGAATGAATAAGAACTGCATCACTCACATGCAGACAAATAAAACTTTATTTGACCACATTGTCAGTTCTTCTGTGGAAAGTCATATTGTGCCCACACTGGGATAATCCTGAGATTTTTCTGAGGCAAATCTCCACTAGAATTGTTTCGAGTGAAACAGAATGTGACAAAATTGATTTCCTGTCCTACTTCCACATTCACTTGATCCCCTTTCCTCTCCTTTACCAATCCCTCTACCGTACCTGTATCCTTAGCTGCTGTCTCCTCTCCTTCCAAGCCCTTTGTTCTGCTGCACAGATGAGCAGGTCTGGGTGATCAGAGAACCCTGCACATGAGAAAGAGATTGTTCAGGATGCCCCTGGATTTCTAATACTGTACTGTGCTCAGTAGATGAAGAGAAAACAAAATACAGGATTATACAAGTGATTCTCCAACTGTCCTGCAGTGTCAGAATACAGAAAACAAATAGAAAGAAAGCATTTTTAATTATCATAACTTGAATCCCACTTCCAATCACAGCCCAATCAAAACTGAGGGATAGAAATGGGACTGATTATTGAAAAGAGAATATAATATAGTAGTGAGCTTCTGAATTGATCATGGACCAATAATGATGAAGTCTTACACTCCTCAAAAGGACACACATGAAGGAGAGAGAACATTTCAAGACAATTTCTTTTTTCCTCTGAGGATTTCACTTTATTCGGTGGGATGTGACACTCATTCACACAAAGCTCACACACTTGCAGATTAGTTTGTCAAGAAATCCTGAGGAGGAGCAACGGAGATTGCAAGCAAACAATTCTCACCCACAGAAAACAGACTGCTGCATTTCAACAACATCCAGTGCCAGCACAATGCCAGGGACCAGGCATTGCCCCTCCTCCTGGGAGAAGTCCACAGTCACACCACAGGCTGTCAACAGACCACAAAGGAAAAAAACAGTTTGAATCATCCTGT